TTTTTAGGCAAGAAATTTAGGTAAATTCTAGATTTCCAAAGTGACCTTCCTACCTGGCCATGAATGTCATTTTATGCTTCTGTGCATCTGAATGTTGTATCTCTTGACAACTGTAAGTCCATGAAATGTTAAGAGCTAGAGAGAGTTCATTCTAGTGTTCTGTTTATTCTATTCCTTAAAGTCCTTCTCAAAACAGATGATTTATTTATGTTCTGTATAGTTTCCATGTGCTGGAAGCTTTCTGGACACATAGAACGTTTTGAATACCTTATCTTTGCTCTTACACTTTATAACTTCTGTCCATAGGTATGCCGAAAGACTGGAGATCCAAATAAGTTTGTGTTTTGCAAAAGGTGTGATGGTGCATACCACTGTTACTGCCAGCATCCTCCACACAAGGTGATGTGTTAATTGCTTGTTTTTGGGTGTCATATCTAGATTATAATGGCACTACTAACAGACATTCCTGCATGTTGCAGAATGTCAACTCTGGACCGTACTTGTGTCCTAAACATACAAGGTGTCACAGCTGTGGATCTTCTGTCCCAGGAAATGGACTAAGTGTGAGGTAATGGTTGTCAACAGTTAGTTTAAACTCATAAATATGTTTTTTTTTGAACAACTGATGTTTAGTTAATCATTTTGTTTTCCGATCTTGCAAAAATGTGAAAAATGCATATATTGTGCGTGTATATAGATATTTATTGCTTTGTGACTTATGGAATACCTTGATATATAAATAACTTGTCATTTTTGGTATCAATCTCTCTTAAGCATGCCTTTCAGCTCCATACATGTTAATGAGAATGCTTACCCACTCCAATCCATTATGCTTGCAATTTGATACGTTGAGTGTGACACCTTATCTGAGTATGTATGGCAATTTGGAAAGTGATTGTTATGTGCAGGTGCATCGATGATGAATTTGTTTGATTTATGCACTTTTGATAGATATCTCTGATCTATACTGCCTAACTGATCTTTAGAATGCAAGTAATTGAAGCCTAAGGAAATAATGGAGCATGATTTTGGTAGGTAGTGGGAGGAGTTGTCTTGACATGCAATAGTTACATTTATAATTCTAGTGTGATTGTACTTTTTCAACAGGGTTTAGTCTTCTTTATTTCTTACTATTAGCAGGTTCATTTGTCGTATGTTTTTAAAACACGCAGGTGGTTTCTGGGATACACTTGCTGTGATGCTTGTGGAAGATTATTTGTGAAGGGAAATTATTGCCCTGTTTGCTTGAAGGTATTGTCAACTTCATGCTATCTTTGGGTTGTCACAAACTTTTCATTAAAAAAAAGCTGTTCTATGTTAATTACTACTACTTGTAGTCTGCATTGATCGATCATTATATTTAAATGCTTCATCATCAATCCAAAAAAATGTCCCAGATGATTTTGTTTCGTAACTTGATATTTATACTTTACAATATGAATGAAATTGATTAGATGTCTTGGGTAAACCTTATAGGTTTATAGAGATTCAGAATCAACTCCAATGGTTTGCTGTGATATATGCCAGCGATGGGTGCACTGTCATTGTGATGGCATCAGGTTTGTCTTTCCCATCTCAAAATACAGGGCTAATGGCAAATTAGGATGATAGATGTTCTTGGAATTATCAATAATCTTAACAGAAACTTGTTCTTTATGAGCTATTTCCTTTCACAATTATGACAATTCTGGTATGACGAATCTGGATTGGATTCTGCTTCACAGTTGTTGCTTCTTTGGTAATGTTACGCGCCTTTTCTTGGATGTAAATCCTTGTTTGATGTCAATAGTGGATATCTAATAGTGCTTTTCATGAGCAGTTATTTATAGGAAGTAATTTACACCTTGGAGAAATGAGATAACTTATTCTGAAAGAAATGTTTTGCAGTGATGAAAAATATCTTCAGTTTCAAGTAGACAGAAACCTACAGTACCAATGTGCCACATGTCGTGGAGAATGCTATCAGGTTTGTTAATTGTAGAAATCTCTCTCTGAAGCTTGTACACATGTGGCTAGTCTTGCTTAGATGTGGTGTGCTGGGATGGTTTGGTTATAACTTCTTTTCTTACACCATAAATGTATACTACAGGTAAAGGATCTCAAAGATGCTATTCAAGAGCTGTGGAGGCGACGAGATAAGGCTGATCATGGTTTAATTGCAAGCTTGAGAGCTGCTGCTGGGTTGCCAGCCCAAGAAGACATATTTTCTATCTCTCCTTATTCAGATGGTGATGGAAATGGTCTGGAGGCACTAAGGATTGATTTTGGGCTTTCTATAAATATCTCTCTCAAAGGGATAGGCGGCAAGTCACCAAAGAAGAGTAATGATTATGGAAAGAAACATTGGAATAAAAAATATCCCAAGAAAAAAGGTTGTCATGCTGCTTCAATTAGTAAGTCAGAACCACATCAGCACGACATTCATTCTTACGTACATGATACGGGTGATTGCAAGAATTATGACTCGGAGTCTCAAGCAAAAGGAGGATCTGATAAAAGTTTTTCTCCTGTTGCTGGTATTGTGAATCACACCGAAGGGGTTTGCTCAATCAGTCAGCCAGGGGGTTGGAAACACAAGTTTGTTGATGAGGTGATGGTGAGCGATGGAGAAAGGACATCCAATGTTTTTAAAATCAAGAGTAATAAGCCTCATGATGTGGATAGTGGGGATGATACTGAAAAACATGCCGGCAAATCTAAGTCTGTCAAGGCAAAGAGATTAGTAATAAATCTAGGTGCACGAAAAATAAATGTCAGTAGTCCAAAATCTGATGTTCAAAGCTGCCAAAGTGAACTAGATTTGAAGGCTTCCAACAGTAAGTGATCCATGTGTCATTCAACTGCTTGTAGTGCAATTATTAATATGTTATTATTGACATTATTAACTTGAGGATGTTATCATTTTACCTGCTAATTCACTGACATGATTGATTTTTGCAATTTGCAGGAGATACAGTTGATCACTCTGGGCAAACAAGAGGTTTGATTAAGTTTGCAAGGAGAGAGGGTAATTTGATTAAGTTTGGAAAAGTAAAAGCTGAAGCTTCAAACTTCAATCCCAAATATGATGGAGGGAGTCCTTGTGATGGATATGAAACTGTTCCCCTAGATCATGCCCGTGTTTCATCAGCTAAAAAGAGCCTTGAAGGAAGCAGGGTTGTGGTGAGGCCTGCGGGTGGTGAAGTCCCTACTTTAAGAAGTGACAAGTTATCTTTGGGAAAGCAATCAGAGGTCGGGTCTGATACACATACAGAAAGCAATGGTGATTCTGGTGACACTCCCATTTTTCATTCATTACCAAAGGAGTCAAAACTTTCTTTGAAGCTTAAGATTAAGAAACCTAATCTTGAAAATCAGAGCTCCCTTATTCATCTGCATGAAGAAGAAAAGAGTAACATAAGGGGCCAAAGGTCAAAAAGGAAGAGAGCATCAAGCTTAATGGAGAAAAAGATGTATAATGATGATGAAGGTATGCTGCCATCACATCTAGACAGTGAAATGACAGAAGCTAATTGGATATTGAAAAAATTGGGTAAAGATGCTATTGGAAAACAAGTTGAAGTTCATCAGCCATCTGACAATTCATGGTGAGTTTTTGTTTTTTCCTTCTGGGTGAGGGATAAAAAAGTATTTGCCAGTGAGTACATGCATCATATTTCGCAAGTAATCCACTCCATTTTGACATCCATCTTAGCCTGTTTTAAAGTAGGAAGGGGCTTGTTCATGGCAACCTTGTATCACAGAAACAAAATGAAGCTGATGGCGGGGAGGATCAATTTTGAAACTGGTTTTGAAGTATTCCTAGGTGGTCCAACACTCTCCTTCAATTCCATATTTTGTATGAACCCCCATCCATGTGCAAGCTTCTATGTCATAAGCTTGCTTGTTTACTGCTTTATTGAGTTGATCATGAGCATTAGAACTTAGAGTCCTTCATGTCCTGCTACTCTTTTGAAATCTAGTTGAAATTCCTGCTACTCTTTTGAAATTTGGTTGAACTTTGGCTCGATATTTATTTAAAGTGTCTGATGTTTTCTTGACCCAGGCACAAGGGAGTCGTCTCTGATATTGTTGAAGGCACATCAATGTTATCTGTTGCTCTAGATGATGGTATAGTGAAAACCTTGAAACTTGGGAAGCAAGCAGTTCGCATTGTTTCTCAAAAGCAAAAAAGGTCAAAAACATGAAAGCTGAACTTGTTTTCAAATATTGACAATTGCATCTGGACTCCAGATACTCATCCCATTTTAGTTGAAAAGGTAGCGTCCATTCCTAAGGACCACAGAGATTTCAGTTGCATTTTCTGGTTGCATGTATGGCTGGTGATGTTTCATGGAAGCAGTGTTTGCTAGGGTGCTAGCTTTTAACATTTACGTGAAATTATTTTGTAAAATAGTGATTATTTTGACGGAGGGCTATCCTTCCAACCCCCTTCCCCCTCCCTCCATCAAATGTAGCTTGCTTTCCCAGTGCTTGGAACTCTGTATCTAGCCAGGCTTTTAGATTAACTTGGTTGTGTTGTTAATCCATGTGCGCAGGAAGTAGCATTGCCCTTGTTAACTGTAGTTGAGCTTACAAAGCTCCGGACCTTTTGTTGTCTTTTTTTTTTTTCTTTCCAATTTTAATCTGTCAAGGTTTCATTGCTTCCCATAATGAGAGGGAAGTGATAAATCCGTGCTGGTCTCTGTTCTATCTGATGCAGATATATGGGTGCATTATGTGTATTATGAAATCAAGTCTCTGGTTTGCCAACCCCATTGTTCACTAAACTTCCAGGGAAAACATATTTGGGCACTGCTTAGCTAAGACTCCTATCAGAGAGCCACTTTTATCCTCTCAGATTTCTCTGCACTAATTAAAAACTGGTAATATCAGAGGTATTGTGTTACCAAACCCTGCTGTTCACTCGTGGCGTTCCATCTCAATTTCCTCTCCTCTCCATTACGTTTACCTTTTCCGTTGGCAAGAGTGCAGCACTTAACTTTGTACACATGAATATGTAATTGGAACAAAAAGTCGGCACTTTCTATTGCTTTCATATTCTGCAGATCGTAGCCCGACAACATTAACAGTACCATAAAGGGTTCACGAGAAAACAATGAGTAATCATACAGGTGGAGGCGGCAGGTCTAGTAAAAGCCAAAATCCAACAGACTCATCTGAATCCAAGTCGTTTTGGATGGCAAGAAAATGTAAACCTCCACATGCCTTCTTTGCAGCTTCCCAGGCTTCAGCTTCAGCTTCAGCTGTTGTTACGGGAGTTTTCTTATAGGTAGCATAAACATAACGGGTTGCAATTCCAACTGATAGAATCAAGCAAGCACGAGGAGTGTCAGCTTCAATTGCGCACGCTTCCAGCCCGTTCATCCATGCTGCTATAGCAAACGAAAAGATTCGAATAGGTGGCTCGGTCTTACGAGCGTCACAAAATTCTAGAAGGCATACTTACAATTAGATGCACTAAAAGACCACAAGATAGTAAGACAGGACTTCATGGGGATGGAAGTGGGGAAGTCTGTTAAAAAATAAACAGCGTTCATGGCAATCACAATTTTTTCCCAAGGAATAATAATTGCTCGTAACAATCATCACAGGAATCAGATTCTTGTATATTTTGATATGCATTAGGATTCACCAAAAATTATGGAAGCATCTGCTGTCGATGATACAGCAATTTCAGTTCCAATTCTTTAAGTGCATAATCAAGTAGAGATGCTATTTCCCAAAACTCAGAAACAAGAAAAGGCACACCATGCTTCTTTGCTATATAAGAACGATGGTGCAGAGCAATGTGATTATCACTTAAGATGTCATCAGCAGGGATATCACGAATGCGATTAGGGCCCAGTGAAAAGCTAACTGTATCGATGACATCATGACCTGAAGGTCGTTTTATCCGATGAACATTTTAAAAGATTAGGATATGCAGCAGCTTTATGATCTTGGTGAAGTGAGTTTTGCACGATTGTCCACAAAGCCAATGTCCATGCATCTGAATAGTGCATGAGTTTCAGAACTTTCTAGTCCGTGTTCCTTTTTCTGTGATTTTTTAAAATTCAACCCAGCATCTTGTACGAGGATCAAGTTTCCCACGCCACGACAGAATTAGAATGCAAATGGTATTTATAGGACATAACCAGACGAATCATTTCAATACATGGTCTTTGACTATACCAATATTTACATGAAATAACATTTCCCAGGCTACAGAAGATGAAATTAGAGGGAGAGTAGACCTGCTAATGGTTCAGCACGTGAAGATGCAACAGCAAGTCCAGGTATCATTGTCTTGTCATCAATCTCAATTCCCAATAAATCCAAATCCAGACTTGCACCAAAAAAAATCTTGTCCCTGATGATGCAATTTCCTCTCGGACAGCTGAAAGCAGGAAAATACATCAGCAAAGAACAGAGCAAGCTTTCAAACAAATCAAAACATACAGTATTTCGAAGCTGGCAGCATGCAGTATGTTATTAGCTTCAGAAAGCATGGCTCTTACAGCCTATGCCACTTTTAAAATTTGAACTTTCGGTAAAAGTTGTGACCCGATAGACAGTCTGCAACACTAAGTTAAAATAACATTTACAAATGTCATTCATATGCAAGGCAGATTTATCTTTTGTGTCGGATGGAGACCAAAATATAGCATTCTCAGTGTTTTATTTGACAACAACAGCCTCGTCCGTTGGTTGTCATGGGCTGGGCTTGGATAAGATTGCTGATCCAAGATAGTACTTGGAGGTCCATGCCCAACCTTCGACGAATCGGTTTTCTCACACGAGCAATCATAGTTCATAAGATTAAGATTAGTATGGTAATTAAAAATATTTAATTTCCTTTTCTTGATTGATTAAATATATTAAATATTTTTTCACGATTTGAAAAGTGAATTTTAAAATTATTGATACAATATCAATGATAGTAATTATAAGTCCATGCCCCATAGTTGAGGGGGAGGACGGATTCCGAGAAATATAAAAAATGTCTTTTGAAATGAACGATTATAATTTCAAGAGATTAACTTAAGACTTAAATATATTTATTTTATTTTCAATTTTAATTTTTGTGAAAGTAAATTAATTTTTTTATTTGAAATGTATATTGTTAATAATTTCTAACAACAAATTTAGTTTTGTTTGATCGACTTGGCCGGACCGATCTACCTTCAATCTCCCGTGGACTTCCCCTTACCCCTTGCAAATCTTCTTCATCATTATTAATAGCACTCTAATGAAGTCAAAATATAACTTTCACTATTTTAACAGAGATGAAAATCACGTTTATTTTTATATTTTAAAAATATTTTTGAGAAAAAATTAAAGTTTTTATTTTTATTTTTTTTCTTCATTTTTTTATTCTCAGATATTAATATCAAAAATATTTTTTTTAAATAAAAATATTATTTTAATATATTTAAAACAAATATTTTTAAAATCAATCATTATTATACTTTCAAACCCTTTTAAAAACACCAACCACTCATGTATCCATCACACGAGTCTTTAGTTCAATTTCATCCAGTATTTTTTATCATTTAATTTCAAGAATGTCCATCACGATCAAGATCTAGGAGAATCATCAAAAAAATTTAAGGATTAAATTGAAAGATATTAAAGTTTGATGACCAAGTTGAAACAAATTTTAAATTTGAATGACCAAAAAAAGAAATTTATCAAGTCAACACTAGTCATGAATTGTGAGACGTGAAATAACATTTCCTCTAGTTTCTTTGTTAAAAATAATGTTAACGCTAATTTATTAATAATGGATAAGTAAACATGGATTCATAGAATTCTACCGAGCAATGCTAGTGGATCGAGGTGAAAAAAAGAAGAGGTCTATAAATAGAACCCACGCCCGTTGCTTCAAATAACACTTTCGAGTTTCGTGCCCTATCAAGCACAGAGGTGTCTCTACCGCGAAGAATGACGCGGGAGCCACTTTTACAGTTTCGGCGGCCGGTGTCTTCCTCTAATGTAAACCTTAATCTCCCTGTTACTTTCTCATATGTTCACTTATGCACAATTATTTGGGTGTGAGCCAGTGTATTTATTTCAACGTTTTGTTTCTTTCCTGTTTGATTAAATGCCGGTTAGAAAGTGAGTGCTTTCTCTTCTTTCACCCCCAATTTCTTAGCACCCAGAACAGTTCATTCTGATGCATTCACCGTAGCACTTAGCCCCAAAAGGAATTTAATGGTCTAATGGCACGAATCCCAAGCTCGAGATGTCTCAGAGTTCTTTCAAGTCATGTCTTTGCAATCTAACCCGGAATTTGAATAGAAAAGAAAAGGAAAAAGTATATCATCTAGGCTTGAATGGAGTCGATAATTCAAGAAGGTGATTAGTTTAATATTTCCACAGGGAGATTTGTAGTAGAGCATGTCAGCTTGGTTGCTGGGTATAATATAATATATACGGTGATGTAGTTTCTATTTAACATGGATATATGTACCTAAGAGGAGCAAGCTTTCTCAGAGAGAAAGAGATGGTGACGTTATCTGGGCACTCTATGATCTCTTCTTTTACTCCTTTTCATTGTATTATTCTCAAAAAACAACGCCGATTTGCCAGCATTAGATTTATTTTCCAACTATTCAACCAAGTCAAGAAGAACCCTTTCTGTTTGTGCTACTAAACACCAATTACATCATATAAACACTAACACCATGATGGGTGCTGAGCGATTTTGTCCTCCTTTGTTTAGATACATATCCGCTTGTTTCAGTCTCTCTTGTTTGTCTGTTTAATTAGGTTGATAGAATGAAGTTTTCTTTTTAATTCCTTTCGAGTCAGTGAATCATAAACAAGAAAGAATTATTTTTTATTAATTGAAACAAGAAAGAATACCCAGCAGCAGCAGCAGCATAATGCTTTATTGTGTTACACAATCATTAAATCTGTTTTGATTGCATGAGTTCTCTCTATCTTGACAATTTTACATCAAAAACCTTATTTTGTATTGTGTTCAAATTTTTCTCTCTATCTTGACAATTTTACATCAAAACCTTATTTTGTTTTGTGTTTTTTTTAGTTCAAAATTGTTTTTGAAAAATTTTGAATTTGTTTTTGTTTTATTTTTTTAATATAATTTTAGATCATTTTAATATATTATTTAAAAATAAATTTTAAAAAATAATAAATATTATTATTTTAATATATTTACAAATAATTTTTTTTTTAATACTTCCAATTATATTGGCAGACTTAACAACTATTTAAAAATTAATGATCTAGTAAAAAATGATTTTTTTTCTTTTTTATAAGTATTAGAAATTTGATTTTTTTTTGAAAAGTGGAAATTTGTTTAGTGATACGAGTGACCGGTCAAAATTTAAATATTAATTTTTTAATTTCTTATTAAAATAATACCGTTTAAATTATTTTTCTCCCGGTTTTAAACTCTACATAGCAGTTAATGACCGGTAATTAACGACAAAAGGATCCCGCTTTTAAAAATGCCGCAGTGACAATTTTATTGATCACGAGTATAATCCTGACCGTACACAATCGACGCGCTACTATAAAACGAAATTGAAAACTTGCACGCGCCCGTAACCTATACACCATATACAGAAACGGAAGATCATTCCATCGACAAAACCATCTCTATTCCCCCCCCAAAAAAAAAAGTCCCCAAAATCTAATTTTCACCTTCAACAATTAATTAATTAATAAATAAAGGAACCACCTCTAAATCCTCTCTCCAAAAAAATATTCAAAACCCCTCAATATGGCCTTTCACGTAGCTTGCCCAATTACATGGTCAGTAGTGGTATTATCTTCACAACTAATAACACCAAACCCCCCTTCTGTCTTTACTATTTCTTCTCTTTTATGTGTCTCTCACGAGGGAGTTCTCTCTTTTTTTAACATGGTCGACTGATACGATATCTTGTTTGTTTTGGCTCTCTCTAATTTGCAGTCGCCGAATTTGTTTTTGCTCCCTAGGGTTTCCGCGAGATCTCCACTCGACGAAACCAAAGGCTGATTTCCTGTTCGAAGTAGCGAGAATCGATGAGTTTTTGAAGGATCCTCTGGGAATTAGGGCTTCCAGGGAAGGAACTGTCCTGGTTTCCGTTCCTAAGGTTGTGCCTGTACCGGTTTCGATTCCTCCGACGCATTCGCTAGAGGTCGTTTCGGCGAGAGATAGAGAAGGTGATGGTGGTGTGGGGGAGGAGGCTTTTTCAACGCAGACTAAGCGCGTGGCTATTCAAAGGCAGGCTGCTGCTGCTAAGGCATCTGCCGAGTATTATGCCAAGAAGGTCGGGTCTGGTGATACCGTAAGATTTTTGTTTCCTGGTTGCTGTGAATGAATTTGGTCTTTAATGTGAGGATGTTTTTGGTTTGTTAAGATTTTGAACTTTTTAATTTCTTGGGAATGGTGTGAATTGTGGTTGTGTAGGATAATCCTATGATTGGTCAATCGAATTTGTATTAGTTAAATTTTGGTTTATTGGATACCTGTGTTGAATTTGGGATTCAGGGGCGTTCTGAATAGCTAGTTTATTGAATTTGAGCTGATTTTTGGCGTCTGCAGTTGCGACTTTGATTTTTTTTTTTTTTTGTGATTTGGAGGTAAATGATGAAATGATTATCTTCTCTCAAATGCTATCTATATAATTCAATTAATAGAATAGAGGTAATTAATTTGACTGCAATGTTTAATTTGGACTTTGAATTGTTCTTGAGGATTTGGAGGTGGGTTTTTGAGTTTGACCTAATCTTGGATTTGCTTAGACATTAAAAGGCATGGAAGTCTGAACAGTTGAAACTCAAAACAGTCACCAGCATTCGCTCATTTTCTGAAAGCGGAATATGTGTAACTGTTTTTTGTTCTGATAGTTTTGTTATTCATTTGAGCTAGCTTATTTATAATCCTGAGGGAGATTGAAAAGAAATTTATGAACTCTTATAGCTTATTCATTATTTGTTTGTGGATTTGGATGTGGGTTTTTGAGTTTGACCTAATTTTGGATTTGTTTAGACATTAAAAAGTACGGAAGTTAGAGGCAGTTGAGAATCAAAACAATTACCAGCATTGGCTCATTTTCTGAATGCTGATTACTCGTAACTGTTTTTTCATTCTCATATTTTTGTTACTCATTTGAGCTAGCTTATTTATAATCGTGATGGAGATTGAAAAAGAAATTTATGAACTGTTATAGTTTATTCATTATTTGTTTGTTATCGGGCAGCATGGTATTGGAACCCTTTTATTGCACTAAAACTTTCTCATCTAGATGCACTGGCATGTTTCCTTAGGCACAAATCCACAGTTGATGAGCTATGGAAATCAAGTAAAATGACTTTTGGCTGCTATTGTGATGACATATGCTATATCATTTGCTAAATACCACCACCATTTGTTTAATTCAGGTTGCCTCAAAAGATACTCCTGGAGAAGATGCGGGTCCATTATGTCAGATATGCTTTGTGGGTGAACCAGGGGGGAGTGGGAGAGCGAGGAAGATGCTCCCATGCAAAAGTTGTGGCAAGAAGTACCACAGGAGCTGTTTGAAAACTTGGGCTCAGCATAGAGGTAAAACTCATTGAGTTAAAAACTCTGAAGGCTGCTGCTTTTCTTTTCTTTTTTATTCTCATAGGTTGATTGATGGCAGATTTATTTCACTGGAGT